CATTCTAGAGACATGCCCTGCCCAGCGCAGCTGCAGTTTCAGCAATGTGGCCTCGATGCTGGTGACCCCTGCCTGTTCGAGGACAGTGACATTAGACACATAGTCCAATGGATGTTTAGAATTGTACGGAGGCAGCGCTGATGAAAGCGTTCCAGGAGTCGCAGGTGATGACGATAGATGACCCATGATTCAGACCCATATAAAAGAGTAGACAATACAATGGCTCTGTAGACACTGATCTTTGTACTTTTCTTCAGGTGTTTATTGCACCAGACTCTTTTATGGAGTTTTCCAAAGGCTCTATATGCCTTTGCTATTCTGTTGTCTATCTCTTTGTCGATCGTGGCATCCGAGGAAATGATGCTTCCCAGATAGCTGAACTCCTGAAGCTCTGACTCGCCGATGGTAATATGGGGATGGCGATAATCTTCTTGGGGTGCAGGTTGGTAGAGGACTACTGTCTTCTTCAAGCTGACTTCCAGCCCAAAAACCTCAGCCGCCTCCGCAAAGCAAGATGTTAAACGCTGCAGAGCTGCTTCTGTGTGGGCAACAAGGGCGGCATCATCAGCAAAGAGCAGTTCACGGACAAGATGGTTTAGGGTCTTAGTGTGGGCCTTCAGTCGCCTTAGATTGAATAGGCTACCATCGGTACAATATCGAATATAAATGCCGTCTTGTTCGTCGAGGTCTGCTGTAGCCCTTTGGAGCATCATGCTGAAGAAGATTGTGAATAAGGTCGGTGCGAGAACGCAACCTTGTTTCACACCATTGGTTATTGGGAAAGGCTCAGAGAGTGCATCACCATACCTGACTTGGCCTTGCTGATCCTCATGTAACAGAATAATCATTTTCAGGAACTTGGGGGGGACAACCTAATCGTTCTAAGATCAGCCACAAGCCTTTCCTGCTCACAGTGTCAAAAGCTTTGGTGAGGTCAACGAAAGTTACGTATAACCCCTTATTCTGTTCTCTACACTTTTCTTGCAATTGTCTGAGAGCAAATACCATGTCTGTGGTACTTCTATTAGCCCTGAAACCACACTGACTTTCAGGTAGAAGTTCTTCTGCGATGGCAGGTACTAGTCTGTTCAATAGTACTCTTGCAAGAATTTTACCAGCAATGGAGAGCAGAGTTATACCACGGTAGTTTGAGCAGTCTGACTTGGCACCTTTTTTCTTATACAGAGTGACGATGATTGCGTCACGAAAGTCTGATGGTATTTTGCCTTGTTCCCAACAGCACAAAACTAGCTCATGAAATTTAGCGTGGAGTGCTTGGCCTCCATGCTTCCATATTTCAGGTGGGACTCCGTCAACCCCAGCTGCCTTGCCAGTTTTCACCTGCTGTATGGCCTTAAGAGTCTCTCCCATGGTAGGGGCTAAATCCAATTCGTTTTTCACCGGATGTTGCAGAATGTGCTGGATTCCTTCACCTTGGACTACACGATTAGCACTAAAGAGGGTTTGAAAATGTTCAGACCAACGATTCAGGATGGAGATTTTATCTGTAAGAAGCGTTTGGCCATCTGCACCAAGTAAGGGGCTTTGAACCTGGAATGTGGGTCCATACACTGCCTTCAGAGCCTCATAGAATCCTCTGTGGTCACCCAAATCTGCACATAGTTGAGTCTTTTCTTCTAGGTTGACCCACCACTTGTTCTGGATGTCTCTAAGTTTCTGTTGGAGTTTGCTACATGCAAGACGAAAGGCTGCTTTTCTTACATGGCAGAGTGGCTGAGCGAGGTGTGCTTGATGAGCAGATCTCTTTTTTGTCAGCAATTCCTGGACCTCCTGGTTGCTATCGTCAAACCAGTCTTTGTTTTTCTTTGAGGAGAACCCAATGGATTCTACGGAGGACTGCAGGATGCTGTTTTTGATATGTTGCCAAAGCGCTTCAGGAGAAGAATCTATAAGTTGGTCTTCAAGCCTAGTTTGAAGGTTAGCCTGAAAGCTGTCCCTCACTGCAGCTATTTGAAGATTATCAACATTGAGCCTCCTCCTTGGAATGCCGCCCCTCTTAGGTTTGGGCTTGAAGTGGAAATTAAGTTTGCAACGCACAAGGCAGTGGTCTGTTTGGCATTCTGCACTAGGCATCACTCTGGTCTGGCAGACATCACGAATATTTCTCTGGCGCACTAAAACATAATCAATAAGGTGCCAATGTTTAGATCGTGGATGCATCCAGGTTGTCTTCCAGCTGTCTTTCTGCTGGAAGATAGTGTTGGTGATGGTAAGCTGTTGCTCTGCACAGAACTCTAGTAAGAGACGACCGTTATCATTGCAGTTGCCAACACCGTGCTTGCCTAGTACTCCTTTCCAGGCTTCAAAGTTTTTTCCTACTCGGGCGTTGAAGTCACCAAGGATTATGATCTTATCTTCTATAGGAACTTTCTGAGTGAGGTGACGCAGGTCGGAGTAGAATTTTTCTTTTTCTGCAGGGTCAGCTTGCAGAGTTGGAGCATATATGCTGAAAAGAACAACGTGTTGCTTATTGTGCAGTGGAAGACGTAAGGAGATAATACGGTCGGAATGACCTATCGGCAGATTTTCAAGTTTGGAGGCTATGGAGTTTTTAATCATGAAGCCGACTCCAGAAAGATGACTTTCAGTTTTGGGTTTGCCTGACCAGTAGAGTGTATAGCCAGCACCATGTTCTTTGAGGCTACCTTCCTCGTGAAGGCGAACTTCACTGAGTGCAGCGATATCGATGTTAAGACGTGACAATTCATGGGCAATTAGCGCAGAACGGCGCTCAGGACGCCCACTGTTCACTGTATCAAGCATGGTTCTGATGTTCCAACATGCGAGTGTCAATCTGGACACACCTTTGGAGGCAGGTGTATGCCTTTGTCTCTTTGTTTTTAATTGACCGCAATAGAAGATGCCCGTTGGCCACGGCTAGCCAACCAGGTGGAGGGGGAGATGAGCTTTGGTTAGGCCACCTTTTCTAGGCCTCTCTCCATATGGAGCAAGCAGTGCTGTCCTTGAAAAAGGCTGCTTGGTCATTCAGGATGCTGCCGAACAAGACTGTCATCTCCTGGGTCAGACTTGAGCGACCAATGTCCTGAACCGCCTGCATGCAGGGTTGGGTCTGCGACTTCCAGTGCAATTGTAATCAGAATATAAATCCGACTATCACTTACTACCTGGATATGATATAAGGGTAGTATAGTGCAAGTGCTGCACATACTATATGAAGCTTGGCCCAATTATAATAGACAAACATATTTAAGTAACATAGTTGGTTATGAAGCAGTTATTAATACTAATCCTTTATATTGATACCATGGTCCAAGACATAGATAAAGAAATGTCAATACTGGGTTCAAATACGAATGTCTGGCTCACATGGGCAAACAGGACTGGGATTACTGATTTTTGCCTGACCTTGGCACAGGTGGGAAATCCCTTTCAAATGTTCCTAATTGGTATACCATACTTGAACCCCTTTGATTTTCAGGAATGGGTAAGGAATGATTCGATTCTAAATCTTACCACAGTGATCAAAATGGTCAAAAGAGCTCATGGGACCGATTGGACAGTTGCATCAACCCAAATGGGGGTAATAATAAAAAACTTAAATAATCCCCATGCAAGAACTCCAACTCCTGGGATCTGACAAAGCTAATCAGAGCTGTATAACTTTTAATACATGGTCAAGCACAGTCCCTGAGACCAAAGTAACTAGCGAGAAAACATGGTATCATAATATAACCGCTTACTGCTCAGGATCATCTCCAATGTTACGGTACAGTGATGAATATCCTAAAGCTCTACCCCCAGGATATTTCTTGATATGTGGAGACCGTGCATGGCCAGGAATTCCTTCTAAACCCTTTGGAGGACCATGTTATCTAGGTAAATTGTCCCTGTTTGCAGCCTCCAAAAGGCATTTAGTCCAGGATTTGAAGGATAGCCTTCGCAGACACAAACGACCATTGGACAATTAGGCCTGAATTGTGATTCCACTTCGAGAATCTGGAATGACACAGCAAGATTTTTGGCAGCATTATTTGTACCAAGTGTAGCTGCAGGAAAAGCATTGGCAGATATACATCATTTGGCATGTTGGGTGGCTAAGCAATTAAATATAACTTCAGATGTGATATCCTCGCTTGCCACAGACACAGATAGTGTAAGACATGCATCTTTGCAAAACCGAGCAGCAATTGACTTTTTATTATTGGCCCATGGACATGGTTGTGAGGATTTCGAAGGTATGTGCTGCATGAACTTATCTGACCATTCTGAATCAATTAATTCTAAGCTCCGAAAATTACAGGAAAATATGCAAGAGCTTAGAGTTGTTGGAGGCGGATTGGATGAATGGCTAAATAACCTAAGACTTACTGGATGGTTCAGGGAAATACTTAAACAAGGCCTTCTAATCCTGGTTATAGGACTACTCATTTTAATGATTGTACCTTGCATAATACAATGTATATCAAGATCACTTCAGAAATTGATAGAAGGAACATGGATAACTGTCATAAATAATATAGGAAAAGAATTTACTAACTTTATAGAAAAATAATTAATTCTCCTGTGGGATGGGATCAGTGTGAGTAGTGTAAGGAGTTTGGATGTTGGAAGTGAGACTGCCCTGGGGGGAGTGCCATGGGGTGGCTCTGGTGACTGAATTAGAACTAGACTGACAGGGACCTGCGGAATCTACCCTAGCAGATCCACTGATTAAATTAAAATGAGGAACTAGAGGGAATAAAGTGAAATTTTTAAGTGGATACAGGAGCAACTTATTTGGCGTTAAATCAGAAGGAAAAGAATTAGTTACAGATGTGGGAGCTACTGGCCACCAAGAAAAAGAGAAAAAAAAAAAAAAAGGAGAGGCATTCTTTCTGAAAACTTTCAAGTACAAAAAAAAAAAAAAAAGGAAACAAAACCAAAGAAAAGCATTCTTTCTGAAACCTTTAGAGTATAAATTGGGAAAACAAATAGGTATGCATAAATTTTTATACATGATGCCAAATCCTCCAAAAATCTTTATTAGGGTGAGAAGCAATATTTAAAGAAGGCAAAATGGAATTAAGAGTCAAAAAAGATCAATTAATTGAAGTTTTGAGTTTATATTTAATTCAACAGAAAAGCAAACAGGAGGACCTCCCTGAAATAGAAGAAATCCTTAATCAGGTATACCTGGGAGTATGGGTGTCTGAAGTTCCAGGTAAGGCGAAAAATGCTTTGCCTGTTAAAGTAGAAATAAAAGGGGGGCCTGCACAATTAGAACAAAACAATATCCCTTAAAATTGAAGGATCAAAAGGGAAACAAAGAAATAATTAAAAAGAAAAAGGATTATTAATTGAATGTGAATTAGAATATAATACTCCTATCTTGCCATTAAATAAATCCTATGGGAAAAGTTACAGATTAGTTCAAGATCTCAGAGCAATCAACAAAACTGTGGAGGATATTCATCCAGTAGTAGCTAATCTATATACCTTATTGATTAAATTGAATACTAATCAGGAGTGGTTTACCGTTCTGGACTTAAAGGATGCATTTTTCTGTCTGCCCCTGGCCAAAGAAAGTCAACATTTATTTTCTTTCGAATGGGAAAACCCTGAAACAGGAAGAAGGACACAGCTCACCTGGACAGTGTTACCTCAGGTATTTAAAAACAGTCCAACCATTTTTGGAAATCAATTGGCACAAGAATTCAAATCCTGGGAACCACCCACCCAGACAGGCACTTTACTGCAATATGTTGACGACCTGTTAATTGCTACGGAAACTGAGAGAGAATGTGTACAATGGACTGTAGAATTGTTAAACTTTCTAGGGCTAAATGGATACCAGGTATCTAAATTGAAGGCTCAACTAATTCGAACTAGAGTATCTTATTTAGGATAAGAAATAACAGGAGAACGAGAACTTGGAGCAGCTCGGAAGGAAGCAATCTGCCAAACACCACGACCATCTACGGTTAAAGATCTCCGGACATTTCTGGGAGTGACAGGATGGTGTCGACTCTGGATCCATGATTATGGTGTTCTGCATCTTTCCTTCAGGAAACCCCTACTGAACCGCTGACTCACGACTGCTTGGCCACTATAGAGACAGTATATTCAAGCTGACCATATCTGAAGGAGGAGCCTCTGGAGGATGCAGATTCCTGGTTCACCGATGGCAGCAGCTTTGTTAAAGATGGTAAACGAAGAACAGGGTATGCCATAACTACAACTTCAAAGGTAATAGAAGCTAAACCTTTACCCTCTAACACCTCAGCACAAAAGGCAGAAATAATAGCCCTGACTAGAGCCTTGGAGATGGCAAAGGACAAGCGGATAAACATATGGACTGATTCCAAATATGCCTTTGGTGTAGTTCATGCACATGGAGCAATTTGGAAAGAACGAGTGTCGGAGCGGGAGTCGGGCCCGGAGTAACGACGCAACCTCAATATGAGTATGATCGTTCTCGTTTATTGTCTGCATACGCAGTGCTTATATAGGATTTAAAGTAAGCCGCGCGCATAAAGCAAAGTTATCATTGGTCCCCAACAACTGTCACGCGCCACGGTTTCTCTTCTGATTGGTGATCGCCTGCTGTCACACACCACGGTCTCTCTTCTGACTGGTGATCGTCCGCTGTCACACGCCACGGTCTCACCTCTGACTGGTGATCGCCCGCTGTCACACGCCACGGTCTCTCATCTGATTGGTGATGGCAAGCTGTCCACAGGATTGCTTACATTGCTCAAGCAAGATGTACTTCTGGAAAGTCCCCGGGGCACTTCCTCAAGAGTTGTTTACTGTTCTCAGCTAAAGGCGTTCAAGAAAGGTCAAGAGCCAGGGCTAGGCCCTGGCCTTTTCCCTTACACCCTAAAGACTGGGTTGCTCACTCCAAGGAATGCAGGTCTTCCTCTGTCATGCAACCATCCTTCCACAAACGAGGACTTTTAAATACCCAGGAAGACAAATTAAACATGCAACAGAATTTCTACGATTGTTAGAAGCTGTACAATTACCCAATGAAGTGGCTATCATACATTGTAAAGGACATCAAAGAGGTAACTCTGATCAAGAGACTGGAAATAATTTGGCTGATCGTGAGGCTAAAAAGGCAGCAGAAACAGAAAGATTTGAGGTGATGTCCTTAATTCCTGAGGGTAAACTGGTAATTGAGCAAAATAAGCCTAGGTACTCTAAAGAAGATATGAAACTAATTGAAGACTTGGAAGGACGGGAAAATGAAAAGGGTTGGATAAAAATACCTGATGGGCGAATAGTGATCCCCTATAATCAATTATGGAAGTTGATACAAGAAGAACATAACAAAACTCACTGGGGAACTAATGCCTTGTATAAACATTTAAACAAACAGATCATAGGAAGAAATTTATATAACATAGTGCAATTAGTGACAAAATAATGTTAACTATGTCTGAAAAATAACCCTAAGACTGAAAACAGGAATCAGATAGGAACAATTGGAAAAGGGAATTATCCAGGACAACAGTGGCAAATAGATTTTTCTGAATTACCTAGAAAAGGAGGTTATTGATATTTGTTGGTATTGACAGATACTTTTTCAGGGTGGCCAGAAGCATTTCCTTGCCAGACAAATAATGCAAAAGAAGTGATTAAGGTGCTATTAAGTGAAATAATACCTTGTTTTGGGGTACTAGCAACTATCTCCTCTGACTGCGGTACACATTTCAGTGCAAAATTATTACAAGAAATCAGCAAGAAATTGGAAATAGATTGGCAAGTACATGATCCATATAGGCCTCAGGCCAGTGGGCAAGTGGAAAAAATGAATCACTTAATTAAACAACAGCTTGGGAAGGTTTGTCAAGAGACTAAGTTGTATTGGTATCAAGCATTACCATTGGCCTTATTGAGAATCAGAACAAAACCTCGGTCAAAGGAGGGAATTAGCTCATTTGAGATTCTATATGGAAGGCCATATCAATTTCAGTTTAAAGGAGAGAGCCTTCAAGAAGTAGGAGAAGGATACCTTCAACAGTTCTTGGTAAACTTGGGAAAACAGTTAGAAGAAATAAATGGCAGAGTGTTAGGGACCAGGGCCAGAGGTTTAGATTATCCCATTCATCCTTTTAAGCCAGGAGACTGGTTTTTTATTCAGAATTTTGCAGGTGATCCCCTAGAAGAGCAGTGGAATGGACCATACCAGGTATTACTGACTACCTTTACAGCAGTGAAGGTAAAGGAACAGCCTGCTTGGATACATTACTCAAGAATCAAGAAGGTGCCAGAACCAGAAACACATCAGAACTGAGAAAAAGTATGGCGCGTCGACTCTTCAGGACCCACACATATGAGATTGCATCGATCATAATTTGGACTTGTATAATAACAGGTGTAGAAGCATGGAATCAAAATCTGTATCTGAGATTGATACAAAATGTTACTAATGTCTTAAACAAGAGTGACTGTTGGATCTGTACTCAGCTACCTAAATCAGGAGAGAGACTGGGTATTCCTTTAATTGGCCTCCCTATCCCCGTTAAGACAAATTGGAATAGATTATGGAGGTCCTGTTTATACTGACAAGGGCCATACAAATTTACAGGCTTTAAGGATACAAGCCTCAAATATGTCAGAAGTTAAATGTGTAACCACTAAAAAACTCTTAATCAAGGCAATGTGTCAGTAGGAAATTACCCATATTGCAGCTGGTCCATGCAACTTCACCTTTGAAAACCTTTAACTGGTTATTGGAACGTTCCTGAAGGGAAAGGGTAGTATTGATTATGTGGAGAAAATGCCTATAAGGCTTTGCCTCCTAACTGGAAAGGGACTTGCACACTAGGAGTAGTGGTTCCAAACTTTACAGTAATTGACATTCATCCCTCTGGAACCTGGGTTCGGAGTTTTATTAAAAAAATCAAACACTGATATAATCCCATAGCAGAACGAAACACTGCTTTCCATAGCTTTGTTAGATGGCTTATTCCATCTCTAGGTGTTAGTGAATTAGAAAAAGCGATTGTAAATATCTCAGCTGCAATCGAGGAAATGGGAAATCAAACTGCTGATGCTATTCTAGCATTACAAGAAGAAATAACTAGACTGTCTAAAGTAGTGCTCCAAAATAGAATGGCAATAAGATACACTGTAAACATCCCAAGGAGGAGTTTGTTCTGTAATCAATGGTAGTTGTTGTTCCTATATAGATCAAAGTGGAAGACTTACTACTGACATAAAGGAAATGTGGAAACAAGTTAAAATATTTCATGAGGTGGCGCAGGAGAACACCTCATGGGGATTTGAAGAAATTTGGGAAAAATTAACATCATGGGTACCCAATCTCTCCTGGTTGAGACAGTTGGTTTTTACTGTATTGGAAATAATAGGAATGGTTGTAATTACATGCATAACAGTCCAATGCTCCTTTTGGTGTTGCAAACAAACCATTATGAACTATGATGAATGGAAGAGAAACAAAATTATGGTTATTTGGTAACCAGACAAAAGGCCCAACTAATCCAAACCTGAGTTTCATACCTAGGATATGAAATGACAGGGGGACAGAGAGAACTTGGAACTGCTAGAAAAGAAGCCATTTGTCAAACTCCACGACTGTCAACCATCAAGAAGCTCCAGACGTTCCTGGGAATGACTGGACAATGCAGACTTTGGATGCATAATTATGGTGTTCTGGTAAGACCCCTATATGAACTGTTAAAAGAAACCCCTCCCTCTTTGGAATGGACTGATTCAGCAGAGGAAGGCTTTAGAAATTTAAAAACAGAGCTAATGAGAGGTGCAGCTCTGTGACTTCTGAATGTGACTAAATGCTTTTGGCTATATTCCCATGAATAACAGGAAATAGCTTTGGTGGTCCTTACACCAGGCCACCCTTGTGCAACCTGATGATATAGAAATTGTGGTCATTAATGTTGTCGATCCAGCATCCTTTTCCAGGAACAACCAACAGAACTATTAACATGAGACTACTTGGCCACTATATGAAATTGTATATTCAAGCCAGCCAGATTTGAAAGAAACCTCTGGAACATGGCCTGGAATTGGCTAAAGACAAAAGGATAAATATTTGGACTGATTCTAAATATACATTTGGTGTGGTTTATGAACATGGTGCCATCTGAAAAGAATGAGGACCTTTGAACACACAGGAGAAACAAATTAAACATGCTTCAGAAATTCTATGTCTACTGAAAGCTGTTCAGCTACCTAAGGGAGTAGCTATTATGTATTGTTGAGCCTGGGAAGAGTACAGGGATGTTGTCCGGGAAGCTAGGGAGCAGGTTAGGAAAGCTAAGGGTCAGTTAGAATTAAACTTGGCTAAGGATATTAAGGATAACAGGAAGGGAGTCTACAGGTACATAGCAAATAAAAGAACAGACTAGGGACAACGTAGGCCCCCTCAGGAATCTCTCGGGAGAACTAGATACCCCGGATTTGGAGAAGGCTGAGGTTCTGAATGACTTCTTTACCTCGGTCTTCACTGGCAAAGGCTCTGACCGCACCACCCAAGTCTTGGAAGGCAGAAGCAGGGACTGTGAGAATGAAGACCTTGGGCCCACTGTAGGAGAGGAAATGGTTCGAGACCATCTTAAAAATCTGAACGTGCACAAGCCCATGGGTCCTGAGGAAATCCATCTGTGGGTCCTGAAGGAGGTGGCAAATGAAGTTGCTAAGCCGCTGGCCATCATATTTGAAAAATTATGGCTGTCAGGTGAAATTCCCGACGACTGGAAAAAGGGAAATATAACCCCCATTTTCAAGAAGGGGAAAATGGATGACCAGGGGAATTACAGACCAGTCAGTCTCACCTCTGTGCCTGGCAAAATCTTGGAGCAGATTCTCCTGGAAGGCATGCTAAAGCACATGAAAATCAACAAGGTGCTTAGTGACAGCCAGCATGGCTTCACTAAGGGGAAATCCTGCCTGACCAATTTGGTGGCCTTCAATGATGGGGCTACGGAACTGATGGACAGGGGTGGAGCAGTTGATGTCATCTACCTGGAATTGTGCAAAGCGTTTGACATTGTCCCATATGACATCCTTGCATCTAAACTGGAGAGACATCAATTTGATAGGTGGACCACTTGGTGGATAAGGAACTGGCTGGATGGCTGCACACATAGGGTTGTGGTCAATGGCCAAAGATGGAATTAGCCTTCTTACAAAACTAACCCTTAACACCAACAAATATTGACAACCCCCTTTTTCTTGGTAATTTAGAAAATTTATTAGCCACTGCTGTCCCTGATAACGTCCTCTACCAGTTGTCCCAATTTGATTTCTATTTTCAGTCTTAGGATTATTCTTAAGACATAGCTGACATTGTTTTGTCGCTAATTGAACTGTGGTGTATAGATTCCTTCCTACAATTTGTTTATCTAAATATTTATGCAAAGAGTTGTTACCCCAATGAGTTTTATTATGTTCTATCTGAACTAACTTCTAGAGCTGGTTATAGGGGATTACAATTTGCCCATCAGGTATCTGAGCTCAACCCTCTTTATTTTCCTGTGCTTTTAGATCCTCAATCAATTTTCTATCCTCTTTTGAATACCTAGGTTTATATTTTTCAATTGTTAGTTTGCCATCAGGGATTAAGGACATGATTTTAGATTGTTCAGCTGCTCGTTTGGCTTCAAAATTGGCCAAATTATTTCCAATTTCCTGATCAGAGTACAGTACATAATAGCTACTTCTTCAGGTAGCTGAACAGCTTCCAGTAATTGTAGAATTTCTACAGCATGTTTAATCTGTTTCCCTTGTGTGTTCAAAAGTCCACGTTCTTTCCAGACAGCACCATGTGCATGGACCACACCAAATGCAACTAAGATGATTAAGGGAGTGGAGCATCTCCCTTATGAGGAAAGACTGAGGGAGCTGGGTCTCTATAGTTTGGAGAAGAGGAGATTAAGGGGTGACCTTATTAGTGTATATAAATATATAAAGGGGGAGTGTCACGAGGATGGAGCCAGGCTCTTCTCAGTGGCAAACAGTGAAAGGACAAGGGGTAATGGGTACAAATTGGAGCACAAGAGGTTCCACTTAAACCTGAGAAGAAACTTCTTCTCAGTGAGGGTGACTGAACACTGGAACAGGCTGCCCAGGGAGGTTGTGGAATCTCCTTCTTTGGAGACATTCAAAACCCGCCTGGACACGTTCCTGTGCAACCTTATCTAGGTGTTCCTGCTCCGGCAGGGGGATTGGACTAGATGATCTTTTGAGGTCCCTTCCAATCTCTAACATACTGTGATACTGTGATACTGTGAAATGCGTATTTAGAATCAGTCCAAATATTTATCCTTTTATCTTTTCCAGTTCCAGGGCTCTTATTAATGATATTATTTCTGCCTTCTGGGCAGAGGTATTTGCAGGTAAAGTTTTAGCTTCTTTTACCTGTGAAGTGGTGGTAACGGCATATCCTGCCTTTCATTTACCATTTTTCATGAAGCTACTACCATCAGCAAACCAAGAATCAGCATCTTCCAGAGGTTTTTCTTTCAAGTCTGGTTGGCTCGAATATACAGTCTCTATGGTGGTCAAGCAGTTGTGTGTTAGTGGTTCTGTTGATTACTCCTGCAAAAGGATGCTGGATTCACAACATTAGTGACCACAATTTCTATATCATCCTGTTCTACAATGGTGGTCTGGTATTTTAAAAAAAACATCAAGGAGATAACCAGTGGGCTCCTTTCTGCTCCAGGACTGCTGATACCACATGGGACACTAGTACAGTAATTTTTCGTCCCAAGGTGAATTCGCAAGCCTCTTCAGTATTTGTGATGACTGCTGCCATAGCTTTTAGGCATCTGGGCCATCCTTTGCTCTCTTCATCCAGCTGTTTTGAAAAACACACCACTGCCCTTATGTAGGGTCCTAGTTTCTGAGCAAGGACCCCCAAAGCTATTCCCTGTTTCTCACAGGAATATAGCCAAAAGCATTTAGTCACATTCAGAAGTCACAGATCTGCAGTTCTCATTAGCTCTGTTTTTAAATTTCTAAACTCCCCTCTGCTGTATCAATCCATTCTAAAGAGGGAGAGTTTCCTTTCAACAGTTCATATAGTGGTCTTCCCAGAACACCATAATCATGGATCCAAAGTCTGCACCATCCAGTCATTCCCAGGGATGTCTGGAGCTCCTTGACGGTTGACAGTCATGGAGCCTTGCAAATGGCTTCTTTTCTAGCAGTTCTATGTTCTCTCTGTCCTCCTGTTATTTCATATCCTAGGTAGGAAACATGGGTTTGGATTAGCTGGGCCTTTTGTCTGGATACCCGATAACCATTCAGTCCCACAAAATTTAATAATTCCACTGTCCACTGGATACTTTCTTCCTTTGTTTCTGTAGCAATTAACAGGACATCCACATATTGTAACAGAGTCCCCTGTCTCAGTAGGTGGCTTCCATGATTCGAGTTCTCATGCTAGCTGATTTCCAAAAATCGCTGGACTGTTTTTAAACCCTTGTAGTAATACTGTCAGGGTTAATTGAGTTTCCCTTTCTGTGTCAGGATTTTCCCATTAGAAAGC